GCCTCCCAAGTAGCTGGGACCACAGGCACCCACCACAACGCCCGGCTATTTTTTGGTTGCAGCCGTCATTGTTGTTTGGCGGGTCCGGGCTGGGGATCCGAACCCGCCACCTTAGGTGTATGTGGCTGGTTGAGCTATAGGAGCCGAGCCCTGTATTAATATTCTATTATATGAACATGCCATAATATTTCCATTCTACTGCTAATGAGTATTTGAATTCTCCTTATACTGCATATTTAAAAAATCATAGATAAGCACAAAATACCAACTTTAATAAACTTTTTTCAAAAAGTGAATGTTTAGCTCTAGTTTGGGCAAACTTCTGTTTTTTGAGCATGCCAAGTGTGTTCAAATCTTGGGGTTTTTGCACTTGCCATTTCTTCTATCTGGAACACTTTTCCCAAGATTTTCACTTGGTTGGTTTCTTCCTGTTGTTCAGGATCCCAGCTTGAGTATCAAGGCTTACTTTAACCTCTCAATCTAAAGTAGTCTCCTAGGCAATTTATCTTCAAGGCACTTTCACTGTCTCAGTTAATCTTGTTGTCTGTCTGCCCTCAAAGTGAAAATTCTATGAAAGCAGGGATATCATCTATCTTGTTTTTTGTTGCATTCTTAGTGCCTAGCACCTAAAAGTTGCTCAATAAATTTTTCTTCTTTTAGGAAAGGCTCATGGTTCACACTTGTAATACTAGCATGCTGGGAGGCAGAGGTGGGAAGAGAGGGTGATAACTTGGTAACAAGTCGAATGTGAGGGAGGTGCCTGTGGCTCAGTGGGCAGGGCGCCGGCCCCATGTACCAAGGGTGATGGGTTTGAGCCTGGCCCTGGCCAAACTGCAAAAAAAAATTTAAAAAAAATTAAAAAAAATAGCCGGTCCTTCTGGCAGGTTTAAAAAAAAAAGTTGGGTGTGAACTTACAACCCTAGACCATTAAATTTGGAAGCCCACAGAGAGCTATACCATTGCTTCCTTTTACAAATTGGCAAATTGAGGCCCAGAGAGAGGAAAGAAATTAAAGATTATAGATAGGGTGTATAAGAATTGAGACTAAAACCCAAGATTTCTAATAGATTAACTGTGTTAATTTTGCTAAATTCCAGAAAATTAGAGTGAATTTCTATTAAATTCATTTTCTGATACTAGGATTGGTAAGTATTGTGCTTAAGAAGACAATAAAATAAATGAATAAACAACCAGCTAAGTGTAACTAGCATTCCTTGCATATTAGACATTTGAAGAGTTGTGGTTTAGGTTTGACTACTTCATCCTGCAAGAATGTGAAGTGATGTGCATTTAACATTTCATTTTTTTTTTGAGACAGTCTTACTCTGTCATCTTTGGTAGAGTGTGGCATCATCACAGCTCACTGCAACCTCAAACTCTTGGGCTCAAGTGATCCTCTTGCCTCAGCCTCCCAAGCAGCTGGGACGGGAGTCTCCCTCTGGCTCAGGCTGGTCTTGAACTCCTGAGCTCAGGCAGTCCATCTGCCTTGGCCTCCCAGAGTGGTAGCATTACAGGCGTGAGCCATTAGGCCCAACCTCATTTAACATTTCTTATAGGACAGGTCTGGTGTTAATGAAATCCCTCAGCTTTTGTTTGGGAAAATTTTTATTTCTCCTTCACGTTTGAAGGATATTTTAGCAGGGTATAATGTTCTAGGGCTAAGGTTTTCTTTTTCCTTTAGCCCTTTTGGATATGTTATGTCACTCTCTCCTGGCCTAAAAAGTTTCCACTGAGAAGTCTGCTACCAGATGTATTGGAGCTCCTTTTTTTTTTATTGCAACAGAGTCTCACTTTGTCACCCTCTGTAGAGTGCTGTGGCATCATATTTCACAGCAACCTCTAACTCTTGGGCTCAAGTGGTTCTCTTGCCTAAGCCTCCCTAGTAGCTGGGACTACAGGTGCCTGTTTCTTTCTTTTTTCTTTTTTTTGAGACAGAGCCTCAAGCTGTTGCCTTGGGTAGAGTGCTGTGGCATCACAGCTCACAGCAACCTCCAACTCCTGGGCTTAAGGTATTCTCTTGCCTCAGCCTCCCAAGTAGCTTGGACTATAGGCACCCGCCACAGCGCCTGGCTATTTTTTTGGTTATAGTTATCGTTGTTTGGCAGGTGTGGGCTGGATTTGAACCTGCCAGCTCTGATGTATGTGGGTGGTGCCTTAGCCACTTGAGCTACTGGTGCCGAGCCTTTTATTTTTTTTGTTTAGCAGGCCTGGGCCGGGTTTGAGCCCACCAGCCCCGGAGCATGTGGTTGGCGCCCTAAGCACTGAGTTATGGGTGCCTATGGAGCTCCTGTATATGTTTTGTTTTTGTTTTTTTTTGAGACAAAGTCTCACTGTGTCACCCTGGGTAGAGTGATATGGCATTACAGTTCATAGCAACCTCAAACTCTTGGGCTTAAGTGATTCTCTTTTTTTTTTGAGAC